CATTTTCTCAGCTTGTTTGCATGAGAGTGAAGGAGTGCAGAGTCGAACTAGACATGGCCCCATGATACAGGGGGCTACTCGAGAAGGAATAAGTAGTGGGACTCAGGAAATGTATAGTGAGGAGGAATGACACTGCAGCAAAGAGCATGAGTTCAGACAGCTGTGTTATCTGCTTGGTGACAAGGTTTGGGCGTGGTAGCATCTGTGAAGAAAAAATCAGAGTTAACGTTTCGGGTCTGGTGATCCTTCCTCAGAACTAAGGGTCACTGGACCCGAAACAGTAACTCTGATTTTTTCTTCACAGATGCTGCCAGACTTGCTGAGCTTTTCCAGCAACTTCTGTTTTTGTTCTTGATTTACAGCATCCGCAGTTCTTTCAATTTTTGTTGACATAGTTTGGGTATCTGCTCAGGGCTGAAGAAAAACTTGCAAGGGAAGGAGAAGATCCAGGGGTAATTGTCTAGTCAGTACCAACACAGGAAGAACTGAGAAAGAGGTTCTGCTGAGTTAATGAGAAGGTAGGTGCTAAATTTAAAGCAGACCTCAAAGGTACTTCCAATTTAGTACGCGATCCATGTGCAAATTGGTACGGAATGAACAAAACCAGAGAAGTGGATGAGTGGCTCAAGGACTGGTATTGGAGAGTGGGTTCTCATTTGTTCCCACCAGCACTGGGCAAAGTGAAATCTGCACCATTAGGACTATCTACACCTGAATCCTCTTCGGACAGATGTTCCCATGAGTCACATAACTAAAGAAGTAGAGAGGTCTGTAAACTTAAAAGAAAAGGGTGGATGAGTAATCAAGCTTGAGTAAATGTAACATATGTAGAGATAGAGTCAAGGCAGGAGAGCAACATATTAATACAGGAAATAAAGGTCAGGGAATTGCTGGAAAGAAGAGAGAGAAAAACAAAACGAAAAATGTACCAGCAATCAAGATTGGATGCTACAAAGGTAACAAAAGAAACAAAAGTAAAGTTTCTGTATCTGAACATGCATAGCATTCATAACGAAGTAAATTAATTGATCATACACACTGAAGAGAATAAATACGATCTGACAGACATTACAGAGATATGGATTAGGACCTGAATATTGTCAGTAAATGATATTCAAAAAGAATAAGAAACTAAAGAAAGACAGAGGGTTACCTCTCCTAATCAAAGATCATACTGCTGCAATAGTTAGAAATAACCTTGGTTGAGATCAGATGTCCAATTGGTTTTGGCGGAGATAATAAATAGGGGAAAGAAGTCACCAGTTCAAGTGATTTGCAGGCCCCAAATAGTATGCAAGAAGAAATATTCGGTGCTTGTGATAAAGGGACAGCAATAATCACAGGTGATTTTAACCTATACACAACTTGGGAAAAAAATGGTCAATGATAGTAGATTGGCTGAAGCATTCATAGACTGCTTTGGACAGGACAGAAATACTGAACTTGACATTGTGTAATGTGGTAGCATGAATTAATGACTTTAGAATAAGGATACTTCTAGGTAGCAGCGATGTGACTGAATTTTACATATTATTTGAAAAGGGAGAAGATTAGATTGAAAACTAATATTTTAAACTTAAATAAAGGCAAATACATAAGCATGAAAGTTGAGCTAACAGAAATGAACTCGGGTATTATGCAAGCAGATAGGTTTGTAAAGAAGTAGTGGTAGATGTTTAAAGAGATATTTCAGAACACTCAGAGTAAGTATATTTCTACAATAAATAAAAATTTCAAGTGTCAGACCACCATTTGTAATTAACTAAATAAGTCAAAGAAAACATCAGGCTTGCAGAGAAAAACTTATAACTGCGTTGAGTGGCAGGTGACTCAACTGGTCAGAATATAAAGAATGCAGAGAATGACTAAAGGTTAATCAGGACTAATAAATTAGAACAGGAGAGGAAGCCACCTAGGAACATAAAAACAGATAAAAAGTTTTTAATAAGTTTTTAAAAAGGAAAAGTGTAAGTAAAGTGAGTATTGGTCCCCAAGTGGGTGAGAATGGTGAGTTAACAGCAGATAATAAAGAAATGGCAGATGAAATAAATAAATATTTTGTTCTATATTCACCACCCAGTATATTAAATACAATCCTGTATACCTGCAATTCAGGAGAATGTATAATCATTACAGAAGCAGTACTGAGCAAATCACAGAGCTGCAGGTTGATAAATCTCCTGGTCCTGATGGACTTTATCCTAGAGTCTTTAAACAGTTAGAAAATAAGGCTGTAGCTGCATTAGTGTTAATTTCCCTAAATTCTTTAGATTTAGGAAAAGTTCCATAAGTGTTGTGTTTCTTCATGTATTGGAATTCACAAATAGATTCCATTATGATTAGACATAAGACTAAAGCCAAACTATAATTTATACTGCATACATAACTAAAACTACACTAACGTTTTGTAGTAGCAGAATGCAGAGAAAATAGCACACAATGAAGTTTGTTAAAGATAATTTAATAAAGCAAGAGAATTATTTGCACTTAAAAGCTGGTATCAAGTCTGATCAACTTTAAAATTTCTCACCTATTACTTGTCCATCATCATTAGTGATTGAAATTCCAACTGGAGCATGAATTTCACAATCATTTCCCTTTGCTCCCTTAAGTGATCGAATGCTGGAAATTATAAAGAGAAAAAAAAGCAAAGTTAGAGCATGTGGTATTTTGTTATTCAAAAAGGTTACTATACTTTTTTCTTAACTTTAATTGCTTACTGTATAAAGATTGTGCAAACCAAATCAGCAACAATACCATAGAGAAGGAATTCCTGGAGTGTGTATGGGATGGTTTTCTGAATCAATATGTTGAAAAACCAACAAGAGAAAAGGCCATCCTAACCAGAGTACTGTGTAGTCAGAAAGGAATAATGATAATCTAGCAATTTGCTATTAAGATGGAGTGACGTAGTAGATTCTGAGACTAGGGCCCTGAATCTAAATAGAGAAAACTAAGATGGTATGATTTGCAAGCTGGCTATGATAAATTGGGAAACGTTATTAAAGGGACAATGCCAGATGGGTAATGGCAAACATTCAAAGTCTGTATGGAGGAACTACAACAATTGTTTATCCCTGTCTGGAACAAAAATAAAATAGGTAAGGTGGCCTGAACATGGCTATAAAGGGAAATTAAGTACAGTACTAGATCCACGGAAAGGGCATACAAATTGGCCAAAGAAAGCAGCAGACCCAAGAATTGGGAGCTTTAGATTTCAGCAAAGGAGGACAAAGATTGAATAAGAAAAGGAAAATAAGGTAAACACAGGAAAGATGTTCCCGGTGATCAGGGAGTTCAGAATCAGGAGTCACAGTTTACGGATATGGATTAGGCCACTTGGGACTGAAATGAAGAGAAATTTATTCACTGAAAGAGCTGTGAGCCTGTGGAATTCCCTGCCACAGAAAGCAATTCAGGCCAAAGCATTGTAAGTTTTCAAAACGGAGTTAGAAATAGTTCCCAGGGCTAAAGGGATCAAAAAGTATGGGGAGAAAGTGGGAACTAGATACTGAGTTAGATAATCACACTGAGTAGTAGAACAAACTCAAAGGGCTGAATGGCCCACTCTGCTCCTATTTTCTATGTTTCTATGTTTAGTGCTGTGCTGTATTTGGAGGGAACACAGTTTATAAGGTATATTAGCACTTGTCAAGAGTGTCTTTTCAGTCATTGCATTCCAGATAGGATTTTCCTCATTTTACTTTAATTTTATCATATTTATACTTTTTTTTAAGAAACAGAAATTTTAAGAAAATTATTTCTGTACATCCAACTCTATTTTCCTTTGCCTTTTCCGGCATTATTATAATTGAAACTGTTATCAAGTTTCCAAAGGTTAAAGCAAAAGTATGCAATTTCTTTTCAATCATTGTGACCTTGAAGACATCAAGTCTGCAAATCTAATGGATATCTTATTTAAGTTAAGACCCTCTGGCTCAGGTCTTGTTTGACATAAACTGAAAAAATACATTGCATTCATATCATTGTAGAGTATTACTGCAAACATACTGAATGAAATAGAAATAAGATATATTTCAATGAAGACAAATTGCAAAGTTATATTGGAATTTCTATGACAGTGAATTAAATCGAGCTGAACTCTCCCGGCCATTCATGGCATCACTACATCTATTCCATAACAATAGTTGAAACTTGGTTTCAAGAAGGAGCCAGCAGGTGAAATAATGATCGAATATAGCTACTTCAACCATTTTATCTGCACTGATATCTAAATAATACATTTCATCATGTATAGATCTGTTGAAAAGACTATTTACAGAAACTGACATTTTTCCTCCTGCCTTGAAATTTACAACCTATTTTTGAGGTTCACAGCAAGCCTGCATTACATCTCTGAAGGGCTCTCTTTCATATTTTACTCAAAGAAGTAACTGCAAAAAAAAGTCCAAAGTGTTGCACTAAATACAGCAAAGGCTATGTTCCAACAATCTCCCAGCTGCAATGCTAAGTGTCTGTATGGAACAGCCATGCTCCTAGTCAAGCTACAACATTGGCATTGACATGACAAAGCAGAAAAGGACCAGAAACCTGTCCACAGAAAAAAAAAGCAGAACAAAATCAAATTCAGCCATTTACTGCCCCATCATTCTACTCTGGAAGATTACCACAGTGCTGGAAGTTGTTATCAATAGTGCTATCAAGCAGCAGCTGCTCATTACTGACCCACTCATAGAATTTCAGTTTGGCTTTTACCAGGAATATTTAGCTCCTGGCCTCATCACATCTTGATCCAAACATGGACATAAGACTTTAATTCTACAGGTCAGGTGAAACTGAGTGCCCTCAATACAAAGGCAGCTTTGGTATGGCATCTAGAAGCCCTTGCAAATTGAAGACAATGGGAATTTTAAAAAAATCTCTCCACCGGTTTTACACATACCTCGCACAAAGGAAGATGGTTTTGATTGCCAAGTGTCAATCATCTCACTGTAGAACCTTGTTGCAGTAATTTCTCAGGGCAGTGTCCCAGACCAACCATTAAAGCTGTTTCATCAGAGAGCTTCCCTCCACCATAAGGTCAGACATGGCAATGTTTGCTAATGATTGTACAGTGTTCAATTCCATTTGCAACTTCTCAGGCAATGAAGCAAGCCATCCGTCCATGCAGAAAAATCTGAACCACTTTTAAGTTTAGGCCAACTTGTACTATGTAACATTCTCACTACACAATTGTCAGGTAATAACCATCACCGACAAGCAAGAGTTGAACCATTTTTCCTGGACATTCAACAGAATTGTCATCTCTAAATTCCACATGACCAACATCCTTGGGTCACCAATGACCAGAAGGTGAACTGGACCAGCTGCATAAACGCTAATTACAAGAATGGGGCAAAGGCTGAGAATTCTGTGAAAACTAACTCATCTTGTGACTCCCCTTCATATCCTCTACAAGGCACAAGACATGAACATGATGGAAGTTTCTACACTTGCTGTATGACAATATCGTCATGCAACAAGCTTGATGTCAGATAGGACAAAGCAGAGATTGTGAAGGGTTGCAAGGTAGAATTATATTCATAATCTAAAAAGAAGCCCAGGAACGTAGAATGAAAAAGTCAAAATTGTGTTCATATACAACTTGTTTCATTAATATTACACTATTTTGTAAAGTGCATAAGAGATAAAGAAAACATTTAATATAAATACAATTGTTAGATAATAGCTGCCTCTCATTAAGTGCTACATGAAATAATATTTTCAACGTTTTAATCACTTTTCCAGTAAGCTACAGCGCCAGCGACCCAGGTTCGAATCCACCCTCGGGCGACTGTCTGTGTGGAGTTTGCACGTTCTCCCCATGTTTGCGTGGGTTTCCTCCAGGTGCTCCGGTTTCCTCCCACAGTCCAAAGATGCGCAGGCTAGGTGGATTGGCCATGCTAAATTGCCCATAGTGTTCAGGGATGTGTAGATTAGGTGGCTAACAGGGGGATGGGTCTGGGTGGGATGCTCTGAGGGTCAGTGCAGACTTGTTGGGCCGAAGAGCCTGTTTCCACACTGTCGGGATTCTATGATATCACAGACCACAAATATGCCCAAAACTTATACAAAGGTAAGAATGAAACGCAGTAGAAGTGGTACATTGTAATTAGTAGGGTACAAATTAAACAATGAAACTCACCTGACGGACAGATGAGCAGAGCTTGCAACTTTTATCTTAAAGCTTATGTATATCCACACAAAACATCATACCTGCTGTTAGCACCAACACCAGCCACAAAGCGTTTACTTGGATATTTATCCTTGATCTTTTTCAAGGTTACTCCATCTTGTGCTACAACCCAGACGTCACCACCTTTACCACCTTCACCGCCAAGCCGAAGAAGTCCCATTCCACCGCTCCCACCACGAACATAAATTCTGAGATTGTCAATAAAGCTGCCATACTACAAAATAAAATAATTACAAAGAAAATACCAAACAATGGCTCTCAAATAAATACTCCACAGACTGAAATTTATTCAAATCTTTGTTTTAATATTTAGCACTGGTCTATATGATAAAAACAATCAAATTAAGAGCTTCTATGAACCAAAATGCCCTTTATAATCAAGAAATTGATATTTACTTGTGGAAATACTTCAACTGACATCATACAAAGCTACCAATGTAAACATTAATTGCAAAACACATTGCAGACATGTTTCCACCTCAAATTAATATGTGGATAGGTAACACACTGCTGCCAAATTAAGTGCAACAAAAGGTGTTGGTTGGTAAGGTCTGGTAGAAAAGTGTTGATACCCTTGCTCTTAGGTGTTATAATCCACTCAATGTACAATGTATTTAACTTCCCAGTCAATCAATTTGGTAACAAATTGCATTTATATTCCAGGGGGATAATTTTTTTTTAAACTAATGAATTTACTGATCATACTGCCACTCCATTTTGAGGTGTACAAGACCAGTTGGACCAGTATGTGTTATTCGTATTAGTTTTAGCACTATTTTATTATTACATTTTACTGCATTGAGATGATAATTTTACCACAGAAAGAAATGCTCCAAGATGCTTCACATATCTGCAAGGAGATAACAGGCACTAAGTCAAAGAGAATGTTAAAATTTTGGTCAAAGAGGTAGATTTTAAGAAAGCACTCGAAATGTAAACAGAATTAGAGCTTAGGGTCATAGATCATTGAAGGTACAATGTTGAGGCCATTGCACAATGCACAAGAGGCCAGACTCAAAGAAACAGAATGCACATGTGAAATGTAGTACCAAAGACAGATATCGGGAGGGTCTCGGTCAAGAGGGATTTAAAGATAATGATCCTAGTATTTAATCTGAAGGAAACAAAAGCCAATGGAACTCTGCATGGCAAAGAGGTGAATACTGAGCATGTTTGGAAATGGATATTTTGGTTGAGCTGAAGTTTAGCATCCTAAATGCTTCATGTATTCAAAGCAGGTCACTGTTGTGATTTAGGATCAGGATGTAAAAGATTCAAGACATGAGACCAACCAAAAGAAACCAAAGTCAAATTTAACAGGGGTGAAAGCATGCAGGTTGGTTTCAGTGGTAGCTGAGTGAAAGGAACAAGCAAATAATGTCACAGAGGGAGAAGTATATGATCTTTGTGATGGAGATGCTAGGTGGATGGAAGTTAAGCTCAACGTGTTTCAGTCAAAAGCAAATATTTGACAGAAGTTTGCTCTAGCCTGAGACAATATCCTTGTTGGAGGGGGAGGCAGGAAAATAAATTTGTTAATAGTCTTACCCAATTCATGCTGTACAAACCCTGTACATTTTTTATTGCATCTCCTCTACTCCAATGGAAGATGTCCCAAGACCTCGTGATAACCTCGGATCTTTCCAATGCCTAGAGCAAAGGCCTAACATGTGATGTAGATGAATCCATGTGTAGGTCACAAGCAGCACAGGCTTCAGCTGTCAGTTTCAGCACACAAGTGACAGCTGGAGTCGTTGACATGCATCCATGAGGCAGAAAACTAGGTGGATACCATGTTCAAACAGGTGGTCACACCACAATTTTGGGGCAAGGAGGCAGATGGAGAATGAGCGACCACCAGACAATCGAAGAGTCCCAGGCACGTATTGCAGCATTCCCCAGAGATTCCACTACCTAAATTGGTTTTACATTCCAGATACTGGTGAGTGCTAGAATTGCTCAAAGGAGTGCAACATGAGCTGAGCCCATAGGACCACAGGACAGCCAGCTGTACAAGAGAAAAAGACAATGAGCAAGACAGTAGTTCTGATAGGGCATCCTTTAGTTACAGGAGCAGATAGGAGTTTCTGTGGCCTACAATGTGATTCCAGAATGGTGTTACAGTCATGGTCATGAATGTCACAGAATGACTGCAGGACATTGTTTTGGGGTACGATGAGCAACCAGAAGTCACGGTCTACACTGGAACCAAAGACAGAGGTAAAAAGAGAGATGTGGTCCTGCCAACATAATGTTTATACTTAGCTCCTGAAATTAACAAGGAGGACCTTAAATCTCTAGATTACAACAGTTATGCACAAGCAAGTACTCAAATAGGAAGTAAAGACAGATTAATTTGTGGCTGGAAAGATGGTGCAGGAAGGAGATCTTTAGACTCCTAGGACACTGGGGCTGATCGAAAAGGTTGGTTGATGGGCTGTATCTGAACAAAGCTAAAACCGAGGTCCTGTGGAACATTTTGCTCATGCTGTTAACTAATTCAGCAGGGATGTGGGAACCTGGAGAAAGTATTAGAAAGCAACAGAAACATTAAAAAAAAGTGTCAGGAATGCACTCAGTCCTTCGAGCCTGCTCTGCCATTCAATTTGACCATGGCTGATCATCCAACTCAGTATCCTGTTCCCACTTTCCCTCCATTTCCTTAAGATCCCTTTAGCCCTAACAACTATATCTATATCCTTCTTTTAAAAAAAAGTCAATGTTTTGTCCTCAACTGCTTTCTGTGACAAAGAATTCATAGGTTCACCACTCTATGGGTGAAGAAATTTCTCGTTATCTCAACCATAAATAGCCTTAGACTGTGACACTGTGATCATTAGGAACATCCTTCCTATCTGGTCCTGTTAGAATATCATACATTTCTACAAGATCCCACTTCATTCATCTAAATTGCAGTGAATAAAATTCTAGCGAATCCAGTTTCTCTTCATATGTCAGTTCTGCCATCTCAGGAATCAGACTAGTGAACACTCACTGCACTGTCTCCACAGCTGGAACATCCTTCCTCAAATAAGGTGACCAGAATTGCACACAGTGCTCCAGGTATGGTCTCATCAAGGCCCTGTACAATTCCAGCAAGACATCCCTACTCCCGTTGTCGAATCCTTTCGCTATAAAGGCCAATGTACTATTTGCCTTCTTCACTGCCTGCTGCATCTGCAGATTTAGAAGGACACCCCAGGTCTCGTTGCCCTTTCTCCTTTCCTAATCTGTCACCATTCAGATTATAATTTGCCTTCCTGTTTTTGCTACCAAAGTGGATGACCTCACATTTATCCAATTCATACTTCATCTGCCATGTATTTGCTTCCTCAGTCAACTTGTCCTAAAATAGTGAAGCACCTCTGCATCCTCCTTACAGTTCACCATCTCACCCAAACTTGTGCTGGCTGCAAACGTGCAACTGTTATATTTCGTTGCCTCATCTAAATCATCATTATATATTGTGAATAGCTGGACTCCAAACACAGATCCCTGCAATGAAACCCTAGTCACTGGTTACCATTTGGAAAATTACTTGTTTATTCCTACTCTCTGTTTCCTGTCTGCCAGCCAGTTCACTACATGATAATCTCTTAAGGGGGGGCCATATCAAAAGCCTTCTGAAAGTCCAAGTAAACCACATCCAATGGTTCCCATTTATTAGCTCTACTTGTTGTATCCTCAAAGGATTCCTGTAGATTTGTCACGCAGGATTTCCCTTTTGTTAATCCATGCTAACTCCTGCTAATCCTGTCACTGTTTTCCAAGCCCTCTGCTGTTAAATCTTTTATAATGAGCCCCAGCATTTTCTTTACTATTGATGTCAGGCTGGTAATATCAGGCTGCATGAAATAATGAGGGAGGCAGATAGCACCACAATAGGAATTAGCAAGTTAATGCGTGCAATCAGAGTAAGACAGAAAGTAAGAAGTCAAAATTAGAGTTACACTGCATGTATGTGAATGCATGGAGGGTAATTAGTAACACTGGCAAGTTACAGGCAAAGATTGACATTTGGAATTATGATGTCGTGGCATGAACAGAGATGAGATTCAAGTAAGGGTGGTAACAGTGTTAAATATTCTTGGTTACTATCAGAATTGTTTAGGAAAGAATAAAAGGAGAAGGGAAACACTGTTCAGTGTAATCGATAGGCCACCCACTAGTCAGACAGATGTAGAGGAACAAATCTGCTCAAACATTACAGATAGGTGTAAAGCAGTTATATTGGAGATTTTAATTACTCAGATGTAGATTGAGATAGCGAAATGTAAAGGACAGTGAGGAGCAAGCATTTTTAGATGGCATTCAAGAGAATTTCCTGCAGCTGTATGTGTCGACTCCAACAAGCAAGGAGGCACTGTTTTTGGAAATAAGGTGGGCCAAGTGGAACAAGTATCAGAGAAGAAACATTTTGGGAGCATAGAAACACAGAAGATAGGAGCAGCAGTGACCATTCAAACCCTTGAGCACTGCTCCACCATTCAATATGATCATGGCTGACCATCAAGTTCAATATCCTAATCCCACCCTGCTCCAATATCCCTTGATCCCTTGATCCCTTGAGCTACAAAAGCTTTATTTACCTCCTCCTTGTGGTCCCAGCCACATTTATCCCTGTTCTTTCTTTGCTGTCTGCTAACTAACTTTCTGTCCACCTCAATACACTACCACCAATCCCACACACTTTAGTTTTACACATTAGTCTCTTAAGTGGGACTTTGCCGAAAGCATTTTGAAAGTCCAGATAAACCACATTCAGAGGCTCTACCTGATCAACTTTACGAATGACAGGCTCGAAAAATTCCAATAGAAAAGTTTAAGGATAATGGTGGAAAATGATAAAGAGCAGTTTGGAGTAAGAATAATCAAATGGCTGAGAGTCATCTTCAACAGAGTAAGAATGGAGCTGGGCTGGAAAGGCAGGAACCAAATGCTGGCAGGAAAAGACTGTGGCTAAACAATGGGCTACCTTCAAAAAGAATGTAGTTTGGGTAGTGGGAACAGTAGGGCAACCAAAATGAAATCTCGCTTGACATGGAGGAGATAGAAATTAAGTTAAAGAAGAAATAGTGCACACAGGACAATTGTCAGGTAGAAAATACAAGTGAGAACCAAGCTGAATACAGAAGCTTCAGAGGGAGATGAAAAAGCAAACGAGAGAAGCAAGGAGGGGTTATGAAAAAAGACTGTCATCAACATACCAGACAAAATAAAAGTCTTCTAAAGCAGGTCAATAGTAAAAGGAAAAGTTGGGCTGATCAGGGACCATGTAGAGGCAGGAAGCATGGCAGAGGGACTGAATGAAGAGCATGCACCTGTCTTTACTTTCAAGACAGATGCTTCTCAGGCCATGGTAAGCAAGGAGGAAATACAGACCCCAAAAGAGCTTAAAATTGCTAAGTAGGTATCACATAAACTGTTGGTAGACAAAGTTGATGAGGTACCAGTACCAGATTTGATGCAACCTGAGGTATTGAAAGAAACAAGAGCAGAAATTGCAGAGGCCCTGACAAATATCTTTCAATCTTCCCTCGTGTCAAGGATGGTGTCAAAGGACTGGAAAATTGCAAACATTACACCCTTATTCAAAAAGGTACAGCAATCACAAACCAGCCAGCTTAACTTCAGTGGTGGGGAAACAGGTAGAAACTTTAAAGCGGGATAGAATTACTAGGCAATATGGATAAATATTAGTTTATTTGGAACAGCCAGTGTGGATTTTTTAAAAGAGAAAATCATGTGTAACTAACTTGCTGGGGCTTTTTAAGAGATAACAGATTTTATGAGGAAAAATGCTGTTAATATAATGTACATTGACTTGCAAAAGGCATTTGACAGAATTTCACACAACAGACCTGTGAGGAACACTATAGATTATAGAATGAAAGGGACAGTCACAACATTAATACAAATTTGCAAGAGAGATTAAGGAGAAGCATAATAGTTAATGGGCATTTTTCAGTGTGGAGGAAGGTTGTAGTGGACTTCCTTACACATCAATATTGCACTTTCTGATAGAAATTATTTAGTTGTTGGTGCGTGGGAAACAATTTCAAAGTTTGCAAAACTTGGGAGAGTTGTAAACTGTAAGGGCAATGTAGAATTTCAAAGGGACATTGATACATTAGTGTATTGGGCAGATAGGTAGCAGATGATGGTGACATGTGAGGTGATGCACTTTGGTACAAAGAACATGAAGAGACATTTTAATATAAAGGATACTATTCCAAAGGATGTGGAACGACAGAGACCTGGGTGTATATGTGCATATGTCATTAAAGGTGGCTGGTCAGGTAGAGAGAGCTGTTAATAAAACATACAGTATGTTAGATTTCTTAATGGGGGATAGAGTACAAGAGCAAGGAGATTACACTGCACCTGTATCAGATACCAGTCAGACCTAACCTGGAGTACTGCGTACACTTTGGGTGCTATATGAAGGTCATGAACACACTGAGTAGCAGAAGAGGTTTACAAGAACTGTTCAGGGGTGAGTTAATTCAGATATGAGGAAAGGCTTTATTTATTGAGACAGCTTTCCTTAGAGAGGAAAAGGAAGAGACTTGATAGAAATCGTGAGGGATGTGACATGAAGGAACTTCGCCCACTCGTAAAAGGATCAAAAACAAGAGGGCCTTTGCCAAAGAAGCAAATGTGAGCCGAGAAAAAAAACTTTTCCACACAACTAGTGGTTCAGGTCTGGAACGCACTGCCTGGCAGAGTTCAATTGAGAAATTCAGGAGTGCACGAGTTGATTATTCCAATAGAAACAATGTGACAGAAGAATGGCACAGTTAAAATACTCAGGTAGTTGGTACAGACATGATGAGCTAAATGGCCTTCTCCCACAAAAGGGAGATTAAAAATGAGTGAAACTCCTACCTTCTTCAGAACCGGGAGCCCACACCGCACCATGACAACCGGACCGGAAACACGTCGCACCATGACAACCGGACCGGAAACACATTTCACCATGAAAACCCGACCGGAAACAATTGTCCTGCGGCCGCCCCATACCGAGAGCCAATAATTATATTCATAATGGTCATCTGTCGATCGAGTGCCAATGTTAGGTTATAATCTGCATTGATATTGAAGTGTCTATCCTAAAACGGGGTTAAAAAGAGTTCGATAAACTTCTGAGATAATAAGGTGTAGAGCTGGATGAACACAGCAGGCCAAGCAGCATCAGAGGAGC